TATCAGTACAATACAAGACTAAAGCAACACAGTTATAAAGATTAGAGTTGTAGCGTTTCAATATTCCTTTCATACTACTACAAACATGAATCTGTAAGACTATCAGCCATTTTTAAAGTGGGGATACATGTCTCCTGTGCAGCCTGCCAAGAGGACTGGGCTGGACATCTCTGTACTCTTCATCTGCCTCTAGGAGCTGCTGGGTGAGATAACTTGGGTACTGTAAATTGAAGAAAAGCAAATCAAATGAAATTCATTCAAACAAAAATCTTGAATTAGTTTTCTGCTCGTTTCTCCTTTATTTAAAATGATAGGTTTAATAATGCTGAAAAACAATCAAAATCGCACACCTGGGTCTCTGTGGAGCATCTTGAAATCTGATTGACATTTGGCAGCGATCCTCCATAGTATGGGACCAAGTCTTCGGTTTGCCGAATTCTCTCAGCCTGAACCTGAAGAGGGAGCGGAAGCCCAATAATAGTAACAATAATAGCCATCCAACACGGAGTTAAACACAAATCTCATCTGACTCTCTCCAAGACTGCCTTACCCTCAGGGGAACAAATGCCTGTTGCATCATAATTTAAAACAGACATTGTACCTGGGATTTACAGATCCCTCAGTCTGCAACACTAATGTCAAACAGACCCTAGATGAGTGACTGGCAAAGCTATTTATGTGCATTGACATAATCCATGTGGACCTGCTGAATCACAAGTCCATATACAGATGGTAAAATACTTCCTAAGTCCTATTTAGTCCCAACACATTTATCATGACCTTCTGATTTTGAAGAGTCTAAAAAAACGTATACGAAAGTACATCATGTCTTATAGCTTTTCAAACAGCTGTTGATCGAGTTACATGGCCAATTCAGATGTCTGTGTGCAAGCTCCATAAAACATCATAATTCAGTTACAACTACCATATTTAGTACATAAAATATTTCAAGGGTCTATTGTTATGCATTATGAAGATTGCTGTCTCATAAAAGTCATGATCACGTGTAAACAGAGCCCTGTTTTTAATAAGTAACTGACTGATTTACATTATGCAAATGCAGAGATTGAAGTAACATTAGATCAAACCAAGTAAAAGAACAAAGAAATATGCATTTATTTACAGATTATTATTTCTTCTTCCCCACAATTGCCTGATGTAATTGTTACTTTATTGATTGCAACTTTCTGTTGGATCTTATGGACCAAGTTGGTCCATAGTTGGTTATCCAGTTAAAAATCTGTCCAGGAATAAGATACACATTTTTTATTGTTATTAATATTTTTAAAAAGGCATGCACGTGAGACTAACGGGGTTAATATGTACCAAGAGAGCCGTTCCCAAACATAACTGTTTAAGTGTTTATAATAGTTTTTTTTTTACTTTCTCATTGGTTTTTTGTTTGTGAAATCGAACTTCCCTGTACCTAAAGTTGTCCAGTTGTCAGGAATCAATAAAACAGACACTAATAAGACAAATAACATTTGAAAGTTTAATCACTTCCTTCCGCTGTAAACACATTATAACGGAATAATCCAGGTCAAATATATGACAACTGTCGTAAATGAGCCCGACGTGTCTTGAATTGAGTTAGACTCACCCTGATGGAAGTAATGTCCATCATAACCTCTCGGAAAGCGGCTGTGTCTTCAGCCTGTCGCTGGTTGTGCAGGGCTATTTTCTCGCTGAATTTACGCGGATTGCAGCTTCCAGGCGCCGGTCCTGCTCCGGGCCCCTGTCCGTGCCCTATTTGCCTAAGGCCCGCGCCTGACAAATGCATTATTCCGTCAAATAAGATAAAGTGAGCTGGCTGACACGGCCAGAGTTCGATAAGTAACCCAAGAAAGCAAGACTTTTGACAACTGTGAGTAGTGCATTGTGGGTAATGCAGTCCTGAAGGCTGTAGTAAACATCGTTGCCAAGCTCATTCGTTATCTGTAATGCGCACACGCCCAACTACTGTCGAGAAGGAAAAAAACAACTCTGGTATTTTGGGAAACGTAGTTTAGGCCAATTTAACAACTACAATGCGGGCAAGTTTGCATTTTTGTCGCCTGACTTTGTCGCATTGAAAATAAATAAATAAATAAACTTTAAAACACTAGTATTGAAATACTTTCATACAGTTGCAATCATTTTAAAAAGTTTATAAATGAAACACAAATCAAACTTTTTATTAAGTTATGTTACATTAAAATGTTAAAACATGAACAATATCAATTATATTTATTATTTTAATTTTATAATAATTCCCCCCTCAAAACACGTTTTTATTAAACAAAATGTATATAATTTTAACATTTTATTATATAATTTAATATTCAGTTATTTTAATTGATGCTCTCTGCAATACAGCAAAAATGTTCAAATATTGTTTTAGACACTGGGAGCCATGGAGTCAAAAAGGTTGAAAGCCACTGTTTTTGATCATTTGACATTACATTTTATCATATTTTTTGTATAAATCGGCAGTTCACTAACGAAATATAAAAATGAAAAAATATATTTTAATTTTTCATATTAAATTCATATATAATTTTCTCAGATGATTTATTTCACGATTTCAAACTGCTTTTATGAAATACTGATGAAAAATATTAAATTCTCGAAGGAAGGACTACAAACGATGCATCATAAAACTACAATTCCCATGTGACCATCGTGCGGCGACGTCTCTTTGAAAGCCTGTAGATTTACTTCCGTTACGCGGCTGCTAACAGAAACAGAACATGTCTGGAAAAAACATGGAGGAGAAAGTTGAGCAAGCTACAGACAGAAAAAATATATCTCTGCCTATGTCGAGGGTGCGATTAATCATGAAAAGTTCTCCCGATGTGTCCTGTATTAACCAGGACGCTCTTTTCTTGACAACAAAAGCAACGGTAATTTGATGTGTTATTAATCAATGGTCAGTTGCCAGGTTATCTGCCTTATTTCGTTACTTTAGTTGAAAACTGTTTTGGTTTTAGTCACTAGAAACATCTGTGATATCAGTTAGCTTTTAGTTTAAATACACATTCCCCATAGTTCTAATAGCTCTTTTTATATATACAGTGGGTACGGAAAGTATTCAGACCCCCTTAAATTTTTCACTCTTTGTTATATTGCAGCCATT